ACTCCTCTTCACAAAACTGTTTCAGTGTAGCAATATTCTTGGGATGTCTGGTGTGAATCGCTCTCTTAAGGTCATGCCACAGCATTTCAATCGGGTCGAGGTCAGGACTCTGACTGGGCCACTCCAGAAGGCGTATTCTGTGCTGTTGCAGCCATTGTTTTGTTGAATTACTTGTATGCTTTGGGTCATTGTCCTGTTGCATCACCCATCCTCTGCGGAGCTTCAGTTGGCGGACAGATGGTCGTACGTTTTCCTGCAAAATGTCTTGATAAACTCTGGAATTCATTTTCCCATCAATGACAACAATCCGCCAGGCCCTGAGGCAGCAAAGCAGCCCCAAACCATGATGCTCCCTCCGCCATGTTTCACAGTGGGGATAAGGTTTTGATGTTGGTGTGCTGTGCCTTTTTTTCTCCACACATAGTGTTGTGTGTTCTTCCCAAACAACTCAATCTTGGTTTCATCTGTCCACAGTATATTTTGCCAGTAGTGCTGTGGAACATCCAGGTGCTCTTTTGCAAACTTCAAACGTGCTGCAATCTTCTTTTTGGACAGCAATGGCTTCCTCCGTGGTGTCCTCCCATGTACTCCATTCTTTTTTAATGTTTTCCTTATTGTAGATGTGTCAACAAAAATGTTAGCATGTGCCAGAGATTTCTGTAGGTCTTTAGGTGACACTCTGGGATTCTTCTTTACCTCATGCAGCATTCTGCGCTGTGCTCTTGCAGTCATTTTTACAGGACGACCACGCCTAGGGAGAGTAGCAACAGTGCTAAAACTATCTCCATTTGTAGACAGTCTGTCTTACCGTGGACACATGAACATCAAGGCTTTTGGAGATACTTTTGTAACCCTTTCCAGCTTCATGCAAGTCAACAATTCTTGATCGTAGGTCTTCTGAGAGCTCTTTTCTGCAAGGCATGGTTCACATCACACAGTGCTTCTTGAAACCAGTAAAACCCAAAACAGGTGTGTGTTTTTTTAAGGGCAGGACAGCTGTCAGCAACACATCCAATATCATCAAACTGATTGGAGCCAATGTTGGCTCACTCCTGGCTCCAATTAGCTCTGGGAGAAGTCATTAAGCTAGGGCTTCACATACTTTTTCCTCCCTGCACTGTGAATGTTTACATGTTATGTGCAATTAAACCATGGCAACATCTAATTTTTGTGTAGTATTATGTTCAGCAGACTGTGTTCTTCTATTGTTGTGACTTAGATGACATTCAGAGCACATTTTATGCCCAATTCATGCAAAACTCCACGTAATCCCAAGGGGTTCACATACTTTTTCTTGCAACTGTACATACACACATAAATATATATGTATATACACAACCACATATTATTATTATTATTATTATACAGTATTTATAAAGCTCCAATAGTTCGCTCAGCGCTGTACATTACAGAGGGGGACAGAACATGTGACAGAACAATACCAATACAATGCAAAACATGAGGGGATCGAGGGCTCTGCTCTTTCAAGCTTACAATCTAGGAGGGAGGGGATGGTGGCACAGGAGGAGATAGCTGTGGGGGATGGAGTGGTAGGAAGAGTGGAGGAGGTCGGCAAGTTAACAGGGGGTGGGGTAGGCTTCCCTGAAGAGATGGGTTTTCAGGGTGCGCCTAAAGGAGAGGAGAGTAGGTGATAATCTGATGGGTTGGGGCAGGGAGTTCCAGAGGATGGGTGACACCCTGGAGAAGTCCTGGAGGCGGGCATGGGAGGAGGAGACCAGGGAACTAGAGAGAAGGAGGTCTTGTGAGGAGCGGAGTGTGCGTGTTGGGCGGTACTTGGATATTAGGTCAGTGATGTAGTTCGGGGCAGTATGGTGGACAGCTTTGTACGTCAGTGTTAGGATTTTGAATTTGATCCGTTGTGCAATCGGAAGCCAGTGGAGGGATTGGCAGAGGGGGGTGGCGGAAACGGAGCGGTTGGAAAGGTGAATGAGTCTGGCAGCCGTGTTCAGGATGGACTGAAGTGGGGATAGCCAGCGGCGAGGCAGGCCAGTGAGGAGGGAGTTGCAGTAGTCGAGTCGTGATATGATGAGGGAGTGGATGAGCTATATATACACACATTATATATATATATACACACACATACATACATACATACACACACAGTATATATATATATATATATATATATATATATATATATAAATATATATTTATTATATACACACACATATATACATACACACACATTATTTATTTATTTATATATATATATATATATATATATATATATATATATATATTTATTTATTATATACACACACACATATTATATATATATATATATGTGTGTGTGTACAAATGTGTGTGTGTATATATATATATATATTTGTAGGGCCAGAGGAGCCAGAAGCAGCGGTGAGGGATCGCAGAAGAGGAGGATAGGGGCTGCTCTGTGCAGAAACATTGCACAACGAAGATAAGTAGAACATGTTTGTTATTTAAAAACAAAAATAAAATAATAAAATGTGATCCTTTAAATCACTTTAGTTCATGGGGATGAAAAATAAGCTGCAATACTTAGCTTACGCCTGAGCTCCACACTGCATTTCCTTGTGCTCGGTCCCCGACAGTCCCCCCGTACAATGCAGGACTATTGGCTCTGCATTGTTCTGGGTAATTATTTTGTGGGACCTGAGTCTGGAGGAAGAGACTTTAAAGGGGAAGCCGTACAAGTGGAGGGAATGGCTTATTTCTTTACCCCTAGACCAGTGTTTCTCAACTCCAGTCCTCATGGACCCCCAACAGGTCATGTTTTCAGGATTTCCCTCAGATGAAACAGCTGTGGTAATTACTAAGGCAGTGAAACTGATCACAGATATAAAGGGTGGGTAAGTGAGCGCAAACAGATCAAAGTGAAACTGATCAAATCACCTGTGCAAAACAATGGAAATCCTGAAAACATGACCTGTGGGGGTCCATGAGGACTGGAGTTGAGAAACACTGCCCTAGACTTACCAAGCATTAACCCCTTACAGTGTGGGGGCCCTAACGTCTATGCCGATTACCTGTGTCAAAAAAAAAAAAAAAAAAAAGTGTACAATTACCTATTTTCAGCCCGCTCCGGTCTGGTCACATGATCTCTCCTGTGTCAGTGAGTGGCAGATGCAGAGAAGAGGAGCGGCTGTGAATTCTGGAAAGCAGGGACGTCACCTATAGACTCCCTATAGACCATGCAGCTGCCACAGAGAAGCTGGATCATCGGACCAGATCAGAGCAGGCTGAAAATAGGTAAGTACATAAATTTCTTACACAGATCAGTCAGCATGGGTGTTGGAAGTGGGGATGGAGCAGGTTTAGGACTAGATTGGTTGATTAAGTGGCAAACAAGTGTAAAAGGGACCGCAAATAATTGCTACGGTCCTTTATAAGATCTTTTTACTGTGAATGTCAAGTGACAACTGCAACTAAAAAGGTAATGAAAATCATCAGTGAGCCCGTGTGCTTAGTGATTGGTGGAATCTGCTTCGTGCTTCATTGAGGACTACAACAAAATGGCGTCTGTCTGCACACAGTGTCTGCATATAGTGAACTCTTCTTAGTCACAAATGGCTTCCGCTTGGTCTCCTACGCCCGGGAGAACCCCCTCTAACATGTTTCGCCCAGTGGTGCCTACAGTTACAAGTGGAGCTCCAGTGTCCCCCCCCCCCCACCCTCCTCATCCAAGCAGGTTCTTCAAATGGGTGCAGGAGCCGCGTCTTTGGTAAGGGAAACTGGTAGCCGGTTTTCACAGTTGGTTGGCTACTGGTCCTGCAGTCTTCTGAGACCTGTGTGTGTCCCAGAAGGCTGCATGAGGAAGGGCCGAACGAATGACGCAACAATCTTACCTGGAAGTGGGAGCGGGTACTTCTCAAAACCAGGTACCCGCTCCCCTTCAAAAAGTGCCAAATGGGGCGATGCCATACTGGGAAAAATATAAAAAGTGTTTCTCCCATGGGTAGGAGACCAGGCCAATTTTTTTTTTTTTTTTAACTAAGGAGGAGCTCACTATATGACAAGACCGTGTGCAGAAAGGCGCCATTTTGTTGTAGTCCTCCAAGGGTTTGATGTGCCAGTATTGAACCCAGCCAGCACCTGCAAACATTGTGGCCAGTTAGTTGGGAAAACAGATTTGGAAGGAGGAAAGGCCCAAAAGAATGACGCAACAATCTTACCCGGAAGTGGGAGTAGGTACTTGTCAAAACCAGGTACCCGCTCCTCTCCAAAAAGTGCCAAATGGGGCGATGCCACACTGGGAAAAATATAAAAAGTGGTTCTCCCATGGGTAGGACACCAGGCCATTTTTTATTATTTTACTAAGGAGGAGCTCACTATATAACAAGACAGTGTGCGGAAAGGCGCCATTTTGTTGTAGTCCTCAAAGTGATGTGCCAGTATTGAAACCAGCCAGCACCTGCAAACATTGTGGCCAGTTAGTTGAGATAAGATTTGGGCATTTGAGAAGTCAAATTTATTATTTCAAGTCCATTAGTCGCTTCTAAACAAAAAGAGAACAATTCAAGGAAAACCTCAATACAAGTAAAAAAAAAAAAAAATATTACAAAAAGGATTGGCATGTAGTCTTTGACATTGCAAACGCTGCCATTGGTGTGTGTTGTGTATAGTTATGGTGGCCTGGCAGCAATGTGTGGGCTGGTTGGGGGGAGATATCGGGAATACATTGTGTACAGGTAGTATCAGCCTGGGAAGCCAAGCTTCTACTAGGAGGAGAACAGCCCACACACTGGCCTACAGCCTGCAAAATCCTTCAATGTTTACACAGAACCTGTAGATAAGGACCCTCTCCAGCACTGGAATGCAGGATGATGGTGGGTTAAGGCAGAAGCTTGAAGATCACATTCCAAAGATACTTGGAATTCAAATACAAGACCACATCTTCCAATGGACTCCATGTTGTCCATCTTTAGGGCTCCATAAACATCGTCCCGCAGTGTCATCTCATTCAGTCTATGCCGCTCAGTCTTTGCGTTCAGCACCGGCGCTCAGTCTGTGGTGGAGCGGCGATACCAGAAGCGGGCTCGAAAGTCGTCGCTGCAGGTCATGAAGCCGGGGTTGGTGGGAGAGTGAACGATGCAGCGCACGATGTTGTTGTGACCCAACGAGAGGAGGTTGCGGCGTTCGGCCGTTCTCGAGTCCCAGCAGCACAGGCTGATCGTCCGTTCGTCTGGGAGAAGGACGTAGTCTTCGGTGTGGTTGAATACGGCCTGAGTCCGGTGAACTTGGCGTCCGCTCAGCCCGGCGCCTGCATGGGGAGAATATTATTATTATTATTATACAGTATTTTTATATAGCGCTGTACATTATAGTGGGGGACAGAACATGAGACAATACAGTAACAATACAATACATGAGGGGATTGAGGGCCCTGATCCTGGGAGCTTACAATCTAGGAGGGAGGGGATAGTGGTACAGGAGGAAGTGGCTGTGGGGGATGGAGTAGTAGGAGGAGTGGAGGAGATCGGCTGTTAGGTGAGGGCGGGGTGCGCCTAAAGGTGAGGAGGATAGGTGACAGACTGATGGATTGGGGTAGTGAGTTCCAGAGGATGGGGGAAGTCCTGGAGAAGTCCTGCAGTCAGGCGTGGGAGGTGGAGACCAGGGAACTAGAAAGTAGGAGGTCTTGTGAGGAGCGAAGATTACAGGTAGGGAATAGAAAGGGTTCACCAAGGAAATCTCCAACAAGACAAGTGTGGTGGCTCAGTAGTTAGTTACAAAGCTTTGAAGTGGCTGTAAACCTTTCCATATACCCAGTGAAGTGGCTGGCCTCAGATGATACACAGAGATGAAACAAATCCTCCTACTTGAGTTGTACCTGTTTATCTTTAGCACTCGCTCTTCACCAGTTAACCATTGGATGCAGGTCATGGTAACCTCAGGAGGAGCCCTAGTTGAGAAAGGCTACCCTAGACCTTGCCTTGACCTTACCATGATCAAAAAAAAGCCGCAGTCTGACGCTGAAGACCCAATTACAGCCCACAGTTGAAGCCTGCCTGAGCCAGAGGTTGTAAATTCTTACATGTCCTGACTGAAGTGACTGGCCTCAGGTGATACACAGGGATGAAACAAATCCTCCTACATAAGTTGTACCTCTTTACCAGTAGTCCTCTTCTCCACAGAGTCCAGAATCCGCACAGTACTTCTGAATCATACATACAACCCACTGAGCCTTCCACCTCATTTCCCTGACAAGGGACAGCCCCTAATATACAGGCACTACACATAGACTTCCATTGCTAATCCTCAACTCGTTGTTCCCCCCTGCTGGTCAAAGGAGGCTCTGGCACCCCAATTCACCTCTTCACGCCGGCTGAATGCAAATGTGTGGCCTCTCGGCTGCTGGGTCTAGACGCTGAGCGGCAGCACATTTGCATTCTATTAAAAAAGGACATATGTGCCGAGAGCGTGCGCCCTGCGTGCCTCCCGCACACATGTCCAGTACTCACGGAAAGGTCCCGATCTCTTTCGATCGGGACCTTCCCCAATCATGTGACCGCCGTGACGACGGGTCACGGCGGGTCGCATGACCCTAAACCCTGCCCCGCCTCTCGGCTTCTGAAACTTTTAAAGGGCTGGGAGGCTCCGGCGCAAAGGGGTTAAAGTGGTTGTAAAGGCTAAAGGTTTTTTTTTTTTACCAAACTGCATTCCCTGCATCAAGGTAAAAAACCTTTTATGTGTAGCTCCTCCCCACCCCCCTACATACTTACCTGAGCCCCAGCTCGATCCATCACTGTGCCCAAGAGCACCTTTCTCTCTCCCTCTTCACTGGACTGGAAGCCATTGGCTGCTGCTGCTCCCAATCAAATCCAGTGACAAAGGGGTGGGGGTGTTGAGTTTATAGACACGCACTGTGCAGCTCGGGATCAAGCCTACACGAGTGCCCCCATAGCAAGTGGCTTGCTATGGGACAATCAGAAGGCAGGAGGGGTCAGGTGCGCCAGTGGGGGACCCCAGGAAAAGAGGATTGGGTGTGCTCTGTGCAAAGCCATTACACAGAGCAGGTACTCGTGTTATATTATGTTTGGTATTAAAAAAACAAAACAAAACATAAACAAAGAAAAACACAACCTTTACAATCACGTTAAAATGGGGTTTAAAGGCCAAGTCCACCTTTATAGAAAAATAATAAATACACATATCTGCAGAAAAAAGTGCAATTATTATTTTTTTTTGCATGGTAGCCTGCAAAGCGTTGCAGCCGTGATCAGTGGATCGCGGGCGGTGTCAGGCTCCTGCAGAATCCTCCTACAGCCCTCTATCTGTATTGTGGTACAGACTAGAAAGCTGCAGTGAGCGCCAATGGACTTTCAGAGATTAGTCCTGCACTGCCGGACCATTTCTGTGGGACAGAAGAACCCCCCCTACACTGTCACAGGGAGGTAGGTGATGGGGTGTCCAATTAGCACTGCGTTCCACGTTGAATACAAGTGTACTACGTAAAATGGTGAAAAGGTGCAGGAGAGCAGATTGTAGGATGTGGCCATCAGCTGCAAAATTTGGTGACCCAACGGCATCCTGGGAGTAGGCTCTGAGGAAGAGGTCCAACCTCGAAATGCGTCCCCCACCAGACCACCTTCAGGGGTTTTGGACCACATTGCATCCTTTGTGACATGCTCTCTATTTGATTTTTATTTCTCTTTTGAGTATTTTACTTTTTATCAATAAATCTCATTTTTATAAAGGTCATGCACTAGGCCCGTGCGCCCTCTTTTGTCTCTTCATATACAGTTCCCTTTGGATTTCCTGGTCCGCTGAGGGCATTCTTTTCATACACAAGTGGGGATATTGACATTGTGGAGTCCATTGTCCAGCGCAGGAGCTCAGGGGTTCGGTTGCTTTTTTTTCTTCCTACCATCCTGGGAGTAGGCCTGGGCTCCTCTGTGCATCCTCCACAACTCACAGAGGGAATGACACCACAAGTATTTCTTTATCAGGCTTTGTGCTGCGGTTTTCCAAATAGTAATGAGTAGGCTTCATCATGATTCAGACAGTATGGTGGCTTCTGGGACAAGCACCAAGCCGGGGTTCGGGGTTCATTTCCCACCATGACCATCTGAGTCATGGAATTTATAGACACGCCCTGTGTGTGGGTGTTAACCACCTCCCGTCCGGCCGTTGTATATAAACGGGAGTGCAGGGTCGGGTGTCCTTTATAAACGGCCTCCCCGCCCCCTGCTTGTGTGCGCTCCCTGGGAGTGTGCAGCACTGCGTCCCAGTGCCCGCTGTGTCCTCCGGATACAGTGGAACACCGATCGTCGTAAGGGACCTCTGTGTGAGGTCCCGATCATGTGATCACTGATTGGCCAATCAGTGATCACATGCAGAGTAGTAAATAAGATGTCACTTCTGACATCATTGCTTACTACGTGTGAATGATCACAAAGATCACATGGTACAGGGCTATTCACAACAGCCTTGTACCATGTGACAAGCTGTGACCAATCATAGCTCACACAGAATGCAAGAATGCAGCCAGAGAGAAGGAGAAATGATTGCTTTTACAGCCTTGATGGGTGTAAAACACTTAGTGTAAAAAAAAAAAAAATTCTTCATCACCCCCCCACAAGTAGTACAGTGTCACCATGGTGATGCTGTACTACTAGGGTGACAGTATGTAAAAAAAGACAAAAAAAAAAAAAAAAAAAAAATAATGAAAAAACTAATTAAAAAATGTAAAAACAAAGTTTAAAAATTATAATTTTTGGTTATAAACTTATTTTTTTTTTTCTTAAAAAGAGAACAGAATACATTTTGGCCAAGATTTATGATGAAATATTATTTATTTGCCAAATGTTATAAGGAAAACACTTTTTTTTCAAAATTTTTGGACTTTTTCATTTACATAGCAAAGAAAAAAAATCCCAGCGGTGAATAAATACCACCAAAATAAAGCTTTATCTGTCTCAAAAAAATGCTAGAAAAATGTCACATGGGTACAGTGTTGCATGACTGCGCAATTGTCATTCAAAGTGTGATAGCGCTGAAAGCTGAAAATTAGCCTGGACAGGAAGGGGGTGAAAGTGGAAAGTGGAAGGGGGGGGGGGGGGGGAGTTTCCGGACTGGAAGGGGGTGAAAGCGTCCGGACTGGAAGGGGGTGAAAGCGTCCGGACTGGAAGGGGGTGAAAGCGTCCGGACTGGAAGGGGGGGAAAGCGTCCGGACTGGAAGGGGGGGAAAGCGTCCGGACTGGAAGGGGGGGGAAAGCGTCCGGACTGGAAGGGGGGGGAAAGCGTCCGGACTGGAAGGGGGGGGAAAGCGTCCGGACTGGAAGGGGGGGGGAAAGCGTCCGGACTGGAAGGGGGGGGAAAGCGTCCGGACTGGAAGGGGGGGGAAAGCGTCCGGACTGGGGGGGGGGGGGGGGGGGGGGGGAGTTTCCGGACTGGAAGGGGGTGAAAGTGTCCGGACTTAAAGTGGTTAAAGCAGAACTTCGCTCAAAAAGTAAAGTCCGGCTAGCTCGCCCCCCCCCCCTCCCTCCCTCCCTCCCTCCCCTAAACCTGCTTGTAAGCAGATTATTTTTTCTGGCCTTTGGCATTACCTTACCTGTATACTTAACCAGCATCCTTCCTGTGGAGATCTCCCACAACTTGGCCACAGAGTCCTTCCCGCTGGATAGGATGTACTTGGAGTTTTTGGAGAAGATGGCGGAGCACACCTCCGCCCCGTCATGGGCCTTCTCCCACGTGTTGACGCAGCGGTTGGACACGCCGTCCCACAGCTTGATGCAGCCGTCCTTGCTGCAAGTGACGTAAGTGTTGGCGGTGGGGTTATAGTTGACGGAGCAGATGGCGTCTGTGTGCTGATCCTGAGGGTTGCAGGAGACGAAGCACTGGAAGGTATTGATGTCGTAAAGGCGTAGGGTTGGGTGTTGGGTGCCGACAATGATGTAGTCTCCAGACGGGTGGAACGAAATCGAACGCAACATCTCTGCTTCCTGGGAAAAAATTAAAGGGGAAGCGTAAAGATTTATACACACAAATATAATGTAGTAATACTTCCATGAGCACTTGCTTTTATTGAGCCATTTATTTATTTCAGGTACTTATAGTGCCATCAATTTACTCAGCACTTTACATACATACATTGTACATTCACATCAGTCCCTAACCCTCAAGGGGGGTACAATCTAAGGTCCCTGACCCTCAAGGGGCGTACAATCTAAGGTCCCTAACCCTCAAGGGGCGTACAATCTAAGGTCCCTGACCCTCAAGGGGCGTACAATCTAAGGTCCCTGACCCTCAAGGGGCGTACAATCTAAGGTCCCTGACCCTCAAGGGGCGTACAATCTAAGGTCCCTGACCCTCAAGGGGCGTACAATCTAAGGTCCCTAACCCTCAAGGGGCGTACAATCTAAGGTCCCTGACCCTCAAGGGGCGTACAATCTAAGGTCTCTAACCCTCAAGGGGCGTACAATCTAAGGTCCCTAACCCTCAAGGGGCGTACAATCTAAAGTCCCTAACCCTCAAGGGGCGTACAATCTAAGGTCCCTAACCCTCAAGGGGGGTACAATCTAAGGTCCCTAACTCACATTCATACATACACATACTGGGGCCAATTTAGATAGGGGCCAATTAACCTACCAGCATGTCTTTGGAGTGTGGGAGGAAACCGGAGTACCCGGAGGAAACCCGCACAGGGAGAACATGCAAACTCAAGGCAGTTGGTGCCGTGGTTGGGATTCGAAACCAATGACCCGAGTACTGCCAGGTGGAAGTGCTAACCACTTAGCCGCTGTGGTGATTTATGCCCTGATCTCCAGAAGTAAGGCAGCTAAGGAGATAGAATCATGTCCCTTCTGACTGATACCCAAGTATTGGAGGAGACAGGAGGTGCCGAAAATAAAAGACTGGGCGGATCAAATATGTAAATTGGAGGAACTTTATCATTTGAATGAAGATAAGATGGACAGTCACCATACAAGATGGAACAAATGGGAGGAATTCAAAAAGTCAAGGCTAGCCTTGGAGGTTATGGGGGATTAACATAGAATAATATGGAAACATATTTTGTTCTTTTATAGGGATTACGATCTCCAGAAATGAACAGGAAAATGGAGCGCAGAAGGGGTCAGGGATTGGATGGGTGGGGGGAGGGGTGGTATATAGGTAGGGGGAGGAGGGGAAGGGATGAAACGATAAATGTTTTAATAAAATGCTGAGGTTTTAATGAGTATGTTTGTATAACTTGTTTATCTGAAAAATTAATAAATATTTAAAAAAAAAAAAAAAAAAGAGGAATCATGTCCTTCTGTAGTTGCTACCTACTACCAGAAACCTCTCTGCTGTACAACACAGTGCCTGAAAGCGAAGGCTAATCATTTTAGGCCTGAAGATTACACAAAACCCCCAAACATTATATATATTCTCTGAAAGCAGACACCCTAGAGAATAAAAAAAGTGGTAGTTCCAATGTTTTTATGTCACATGATATTACTGCAAAGATCGAGGAAATTCTAAGCCTATAAAAACTTTTACCGAAAAAAAAAAAAAAAAAACCCATACCACTAAAATGAATTTTAGGGCAAACGCAATAAATTACCCGAATTGTTGGTAACATATAAAAGACGAGGTTGCGCCGAGTGAATAGATATCCAACATATCAAATCTTAACCACTTGCCCTCCTGAGGATTCCTCCCCCCCTTCCTGCCCAGGTGTTACTTTGACAATTGCGTGGTCATGCAACGCTGCACCCAAATGAAATTTACGTCCTTTTCCCCCCACAAATTGAGCTTTCTTTTGGTGGTATTTGATCGCTTGTGCGCTTTTTATTTTTTGCACTATTAAAAAAAAAAAAGTGACAATTTTGACAACCTATTGTCACAGCCCAGATGAAGGGGGGGGGGGTGTATTTTCCCTGAAATCTGTTGGCTTTTCACCTGGGAACGGTTGACTTAAATCAGGGGTAAGCAACCTGAGGCTCTCCAGCTGTTGCAGGACTACAAGTTCCATCATGCCTCTGCAAGTCATAGCTGTAACTGTCAGTTTTGTAATGTTGCAATGCCTCTTGGGAAATGTAGTTCCACAACAGCTAGAGAGCTGCAGGTTGCCTACCCCTGACTTACATAAACTTCTTGACCCCCGGTTCACATCTATGTGGCCATGCGGGACGCGTTTTGCACGGGCACAAGAGCCCAGTCATTTGAATGGACTCCCATGCCCCGGGACACGCAGGGAAGAAGTCCCGGCACTTCTTTGGAAAACGCAGCCGAGGTCCCCAGTACGGTTGCGTTTCGCAGTGCGGGCGGCGTGCCAGTCGAACTAATGGCACCCGCCCTCGTGTCCGCATTCCTCTGCGTGGCTGCACAGATTTTTTTTCGGATCCGCAGCGGCACCACCCGCACAGATGTGAACCTAGGGTAAATGTAGCCTTAGCTGTGATAACCCTTTACACCGAGTGCGCCTCTACAACCATTAACAGGAATCTTAGAGTGGAGTGCCTTTTCTGTCGCTTGCAGAGAGGCAGCAGCCAGAGACCCCAATAGGGCTCACCTACCCCACACCTTCAGTGCTTACAAGCACCCTTGAAGGACGACGCAGGTCAGATCGCTTCCATCAACACCAGACCACAGACTGTCTCTCACCTGTATGTACTTAAAGGCTCTTTTGGCTGACGGTTTGGAGTAATCGAAGAGTTTCAAGGTGTAATCTTTGGATCCCGAAGCCAAGATCTGCTCAGTTGGGTGGAACGCCAGACATGTGACCTCATCCACATGGTCGTACAAAGTCCGGATGACAGGATGGTTCTCCATGTTCTGTTGGGCGGTCTCGTTCATCATCACCTATGAATAGGCGGAGGTAAAATAAATTTGGTTTAATTCTGTGACTGCGGAGTGTTGGGAATTCTAGAGAACTTTCTGCATACTCATCTATATAGCAGTTACCTCTATAGGCATTGCGCTCTTGGCCAACATCCTCTCAGTGTCCAGGATCTTGATGGAGGCATCAGCAGAGCCAGTCGCGATCAGCTGACCATCCCGGCTGTAGGTGGCCACGCGGCAAGGACCCTTGTGGGAGGTGACATAGCACGTCTCATACTCTGAGGCCTCCGGTGACATGGTCTGTACATCTGCATCAAACTCCAGGTCAATACCGGTTCCAGGGGCCACCGTATCTGAACGGCCTATGGCGTACTGCACAGCGCTGTCGTCGTTTTCCATACCTGAAGGTGACAGACACAATTGGTTGCCGTCTTTTTACTGGCAGCAGAGTGGACGGCTGTGCGCAGATCCCGCCGTTTAACCTCACCCACTTTGATGAGGTGGAGGAGCTGCTCAGACGGGGCGCACACGGAAGTCATTTTGATCTCATTGATGAGCCCGTTGGCGATGTTCATGTGTCCGTCATAGAGGAGCTGGCTGATGATCAGCTTGTAGAGCTGATGGCGATCTTTCAGCGTGATCTTGTACCTGTACATCGTGGCAAGAGAGGGACTGCAATCTGAAAAAGAAATGTACATTCTGTTACACCCAACAATGAGAAGCTCAGGCAAAAGGGTGAACGCACTGAAGTGATCCCGCCAGGAGCCATCGCCTGTACTGGGCCAATCATCTGCGGCCAATGCATGCCCATACGATGCACATGTATATATGCAGGTGCAGGGCGGGGAATGCCTGGGCCTCCTATGTATGTTGACGAGTACCCATGACAGGTTCCCCAGCTTGCATGTCCACTGGAAGTCCATGGCTGTAGGGGTGGGGGTATGGATAAGAGGATGGAAATCTAAATAAAAAGGTCTCATTGCACTGAGGAGGACATCTCTGGATTGGGCAACTGAAAATCCAGCACTATAGTGCCCCAAGATGGCGGGTCTCCTGCCAACCCCCTCCTGTGAATACATCAGCCTCTGGATCGAGAGAGGACCCCCCCCCCCGCTGCTGGACATCCAATAGGAAGTGTCCATGTCATGCAGGCGCTGAAGTGAATACTTCTGAATTCGACAACCATGAATCCAGCACTGCAATGTTTCCCAAGATGGCCAGTCCCTTGTTACTGTCCCCCTCCTGCGATGACACTGAACTTTTATGGATCCAGTGGGAACCCCTCCACTGCTAGAAGTCCAATAGAAAGTATCCATGTCATGCAGGCACTGAGGAGGACACCTCTGGATTGGGCAACCCCTGTCATCCCCTTCCTGTGAAGACTTCATCTCCTGGATCCAGGGAGGACGCCACTTGGCATCCAATAGGAAGTGTCCATGTCATGCAGACACTGAGGAGGACACCTCTGGATTGGGCAACCCCTGTCATCCCCTCCTGTGAAGACTTTGTCTCCTGGATCCAAGGAGGACGCCACTTGACATCCAGTAGGAAGTGTCCATGTCATGCAGGCACTGAGGAGGACACCTCTGGATTGGGCAACCCCTGCCAACCCCCTCCTGTGAAGAAGACTTAATGTCCTGGATCCAGGGAGGATGCCACTTGACATCCAATAGGAAGAGTCCATGTCATGCAGGCACTAAGGTGGACACCTCTGGATTGGGCAACCCCTGCCAACCCCCTCCTGTGAAGAAGACTTAATGTCCTGGATCCAGGGAGGATGCCACTTGACATCCAATAGGAAGTGTCCATGTCATGCAGGCACTAAGGTGGACACCTCTGGATTGGGCAACCCCTGCCATCCCCCTCCTGTGAAGACTTTGTCTCCTGGACCCAGGAAGGACGCCGCTTGCCATCCAATAGGAAGTGTCCATGTCATATAGGCACCTCTGGATTGGGCAACTGAAAATCCAGCACTATAGTGCCCAAGATCCCAACCCAAGATTCGTCGTTCCTCTGCCACCCCCCTCCTATTAAGACGCTGTACTCTGGATCCAGAGGACCCCCCCCCCCCCTTCTACTGCTGGACATCCAAGCAGAAGTGTCCATGTCATGCAGGCACTGAGGTGGACACCCCTGGATTCAGCAACCACAAATCCAGCACCTCAATGCCCCCCAAGATCTCAGATTCCCTGCCACTACCCCCCACCCCCAGAGAGGACCCTGCTCTGCTGGTGGGCAACCAATCAGAAGTGTGCAGGCATTGAGGTGGACACCCCTGGATTTAGCAACCACAAATCCAGCACCGCAATGCCCAAACAAGATCCCTGATCCCCCTGCTGTGAAGACGGTGACCTCTGGATCCAGAGAGGACCCTTTCCCACCACTGGACATCCAATAGGAAGTGTCCATGTCATGCAGGCACTTAAGTGGACACCCAAAGAAAGCCTCAAGCGGGAAGTGAAGATATAGATCTCTCGTTTGTTCTGCAGTGAAATCATACAGCGTTGTCACCCTGGGGGTAGTCATAGACAGGCCATACACTACACAATCTGATTGTACAATCTCCTTTAGATTTACCCAAACTATGAGTACAAACCTAAACATGCCATTCCATTGTATCCAATCAGGAAGGCCCTGCCACTACATAGCTAATGGAAGATCCACAAGGAGATTGTACAATGTCATTGCATAGTGTATGGTCAGCTATAAACAATGCCATCCTCCCACTACGAACAGGAAACCCGATTATCTCCCATTATTATTGAACAAACCCCTCCATACCTCCTCAGGACCTCACGCGGAAGAAATCTCACCTCTGTGTACACCGGGGGGTCGGTTGTGGGTTCGCAGATGGCGGTTAGAAGGTAGAATGAACGAAAGTGACGTCACCAAAACGCGCCGAAAACGGCTACAGCTGTCGCATGTCCTATTTTTTTCCGCCAGCAACAACGCATGCGCGCCTCACACTGTCCCATCCGCTGTTTGTGGTAACCTGCGCTTGCGCGTTCTCTGTCCCCCTCCGGCTGGCGTCCTGACGTTAGACGCGGTAGGCGGACCCCCTCCAACGGTTTTGCTGCCGGCAGCCAATAGGAAGCCTGCAACTCGCTCGTCTCGGCGAATCAGCGCGCAAAGCGGTTTAAAGCTCTATATAAGCGGGCGGTTTGAACTGCCGAAGGCGTCGGGCCGACTGTGGATGGTGTGAGGACGGAGTACTGCCGGACTGAGGCGGAGAGTGGGCCTGGAGGTGGTTGTCATAGCGACTGTGGTGTGCGGGGTTAGGGCCGAGACTGGGAAGGCTTCTGCTGTGTAAGTGGAGGGGGCGGTTATCCCCATAGGCCTGATCTGCGTCTCCGGGAGGTCTGATTACCCCCCCCCCCCTAGGCCTCAGTGGGGGCTTGTGGTTACCATAGGTTTCCCCTTCATGGGTGGCAGGTTGCCTAGTAACAGTCCCTGGTGGTGGTCTGGTGTCCCCTGTAGGCCTCATCTGCTGGAGGTCTGCTAATCCTATAAGCCCCTGAGAGGTGCCATTCTATCCCCCTTAGGGTTCAAATTCATAGGTGGGGGATGGGCTGCTGCACATGTAGGCCCCAAGAAGGGGGGCATTGGCCCCCCTATTCCTTTGCCCACGCTGGCGCCCCCCTCCTCTACCCCCTTGCCCATGCTGGCGCCCCCCCTCCTCTACCCCCTTGCCCACGCTGGCGCCCCCCTCCTCTACCCCCTTGCCCACGCTGGCACACCCCCTTGCCCATGCTGGCGCACCCCCTCTAACCCCTTGCCCATGCTGGTGCCCCCTCCCCATGCCCACGCTAGCCCCCCATTGCCCATGCTAGCTGCCCCCCCTAACCCCTTGCCCACATGCTGCACCCCCACCAAGCCTGAACTATTCCTAACTTTTTTAATTTGGGTGGAGCAAGGGAAGGTTATAACCCCCGTCATGTTTTTTTTTTTTCTTGTATTCCATTTTGGCGTTTTCCTGTCACTTCCCGTCACATAGCCAAAACAGGAAGTGAATGGCTATCCCTGACATCCCCCCCCCCCCCCCCCCCCCCCGTCAAGAGCCAGTGTTCCCATTTGTGATTTCCTTTATTACTCTTCTGGGGATGACCCCAAATTTAGCATTTTCTTCTTTTTGCTTTCAATGATAATGTTAACCAGGACAAATAGAAGAGTGGATTTCTGTAACGGAGCCACAGACAGCAATAAAGACCTGACAGGGTCTAATCCCTCCCCACTCCGTCCAAAAAAAGCATTTTAACGCCATTATTATATAGTGCCAACAGTTCATGCAGTGCCTTGCACTATAAAGAGACAGTACAGTTACAATGCAATAAAAAAAATGAAAAGGGCCCTGATCCTAAAAGCTTACAATCTAATAGGGAGGGGCTAGTGCTGCGGAGGGTTATAAATGTGTGGGACGAGCTGATGGAAGTGGTAAACGTTATGTCTGGAGGTTTGATGGGTTCTCCTGAAGAAATTAGTTTTCAGCGATCGATTTAAGGCTGCCGGAGTAAGGGATAAGCAGGCAGATCGAGGAAGAGAGTTCCAGAGAATGGGAGAGGCTCTGGTGAAGTCCTGGAGACTAGCATGGGAGGGTACAAAGGATCTACAGAGCAGGAGATCATGAGTGGAGAGAACTGTTTGGGCAGTATTTGTAGACAAGATTGGTGACATGGCGTGTGGTAGCGTAACCCTGTAACGTTCAACTGCATGGGTATGATTTATCTGGTGTCCCTGTAGGCCCCTGAGGGCTGTTCCCATAAGCCTTTACTTCATATTTGGAGGGGTGGTTTGGTGTCCCTGTAGGCCCCTGGGGGTTGTTCCCATAAGCCTTTACTTCATGGGTGGGGGGTGGTTTGGTGTCCTTGTAGGCCCTTTGGGGTTATTCCCATAAGCCTTCATAGGTGAGGGGTTGTTTGGTGTCCCTGTAGGCCCCTGGGGTTGGTTCCCATAAGCCTTTACTTCATAGGTGGGGGGGTGGTTTGGTGTCTCTGTAGGCTCCTGGGGGTTGTTCCCATAAGCCTTTACTTCATGGGTGGGGGTGGTTTGATGTCTCTGTAGGCCTCTGAGGGTTGTTCCCATAAGCCTTTACTTCATAGGTGAGGGGTTGTTTGGTGTCCCTGTAGGCCCCTGGGGTTGGTTCCCATAAGCCTTTACTTCATATGCGGGGGGGGTTGTTTGGTGTCCCTGCAGGTCCCTTGGGAGAGGGGGGTTTGTCAAAACCATAAACGTTAATTTTATGGGTGGGGGTGGTCTGGTGTCCCTGTAGGCCCCTGGGTGGGGGATTTGTTAACCCTGTAAGTTTTAACTTCATGCATATGCAGTGGTCTGTTGTCTCTTGATGGGGGGGGAATCTCTCTTAAACCATAACTTCATGGGGGGGTGGGGGACTTGTTACCTCCATAAGCCTTAACTTCATAGTGGTGTCCCAGTTGGCCCCCAGGGGAATGATTGTCCTCAAGCCCTAACCTCATAGATTGGGGTGGTCTGGCGCTCGTGAAGATTCAATATCCAGGAGGTGGTTTGGGGTCCCTAGGTGGCAGTGTGGTCCCCCTTTCCCCAGACGACTTATAACCAGGAGGTGGTCTGTTGCCCCTGTAGGCCTCACCTTCATGACTGGTCACATTTCCATCTGTCAGTGGGGCTGTTCAGCTGAGAGGGATGAGTGTCTGGAGGAGATGCTGTAGTATGGAGAAGGTGGGCAGGCCAGGGGCAGAAAGGCTCCAATGTGGAGTACTAATCAGTAAGCCTGAGAGCTAGCAATCATCTCCTTCATGTAATGTGCCACATATATAATGGAGAGAGTGCTGAAGGTAGGTGGACAGGGAAAGGGGTCAGAGGTGCCCCAGTAAAGAGCGGAGGAGGGTGCAACAAAGCTGGGTGTGGAGTGACCCCAAGAGCTAGCAATCCATCTTTATGTGGCCATGTACTTAGGATAAGATCACCTTTCAGAGCATGTTCCATAGATAACTCAGGTGTCACATGTTCCACACCTGCCAGTGACAGCAGATTTGGGTTCTGGTTCCCCGCCTTCGCTGTCACATTTTGAAAATGGCTGGGCTCCGCCCACACGGGCGCTTTGTACATTTAGAGGTCTGTAAATGGGGGAACTGCAAGTACCAATGCGGCTGACAGCTTGTAGATCTCAGTAGACTGCGGGGTCTCTGAGTGCTATTAGTTTGTTCAGAAAGCTGCAGGACTTTCCTGCAGGATCCTTGCATTGCAACCCCCCTGATCTAATGACCACTGGTGCAGTGCTTTGCACACCTCTGAGGGAGAAAATAAATACTTTTTTTGTTTGTGCAAAAATGTGTATTCCGTCTTACCAGACAGTGAACTCATCCTCTGAGATAGAGGGAATGCTGGAGATATAGAGCTTTGGGGGGGAGTGACCCTAATCTAGTAATCTCCTCTGTTCAGTATCGCTCTGTACATAAGATGGCGGGTAATGCTGGAGGTATGTTGCAAGATTTAGAATCTGAGGGACTCAAATATAGATCTGCGGGGCGCACAAAAGTAGGGGGGGGGGGTGACATAAATGTAAGATTCGAGTAGCTGAGATGTGATCTGTAGAAATGACGTAGATTTAGCTTCATTCCATGTTAATAGGATGGGTTCAGGATTCAGTCAGACATATGGTCACCAATTAGCATCTGAAAGGACAGAGCATCCTCTAGGCGGGAGGTGACACCTAGATGCCAATAAAACCTTGTCGCCTATGTAGCCAGACTGTCACCTTCTTGAAATCAAAGAAAACTCTAGACATTTCGGCTTCGAAAGCAGCAGGAGACCAGGAGAGGGCTCCAATGTCTGTCCAGCTCTAACTTACATACACAGATCAAAGGAATATATTTCAATACAGGAGGGTGAAAGGGGCAGCGAGGGACACAACTTGGGACCGAGGGACAGGTAAGTGGCTGTTTTTTTTGTTTGTTTTTAAGTCAGCAGCTACAGTTTTTGTAGCTGCTGACTTTTTTTTGACAGGTGAGTGGCGCTCTGCTTTAATCTGTATTCTATCTATCTAGGGGCAGCTATGTACAACAGCCTAGGGTTGGGGCTCAATATAGAGCAGCGAAGGGGTCAGTCCCAAGGACTAGGAATCGCCTCATCCATTTATCATGCTAGTGAAGAGAAGATGAGGTCAGTACCTGAGGTATGCAGGCTAGCTAGGGGTTAGAGGGGCTATAATATAAAACTTCAGGAGGGGGGGCTACAGAGCTGGGAGGAGTGTGACCCCCATACCTTGCTATCTCATCTGTCTAATGGGCCCATATACAAAGGGGTGGGGGTTGGCTTTGATGCTAGTGGTATGTGGGCAGCTCAGGGACACTGATAGAGCAGCAGTGGGGAGGGGCAGTAAAACTGGCAGCGAAATGGTATGAAGGCAGTTAAGGGTTCAGAGGGACCCCAGTATGGAGTTGGCGGACACTTGAAACCATTGGGATGGCTGTTGCCTAATCTGTGTAGTGTGCCTATAAATGTAAGGTGGGGGGTCAATGCTAGATGTATGTAGGCAGCCCTACATACAGGTAAGAGCTGACTGGGGTGTGTGCCCAAGAGCTGACTGGGGTGTGACCCCCAAGAGCTGGCAGTTTCTTCATAATGGGGAAGGGGATAAGCAGTTCAGGAGCAGGTGTGACCCCAAGAGCTAGCAGTCCTCATCAATGCAGTGGATGTTAGAATCCAGGAGTGTGGGACTTTGAAGGGGGCATTGTACATTCAGATGGTTGGCACCCAAATCCTACGATGGTATTGAAGGCAGGGTCTCTGGGCTGGCCAGGCACTTTTCTTTCATTGACTCTACTTTCAGGGAGGCACCCCAATTCTGGGTCACCCGTGTGTATTGATTTGGAGTTCTTCCTTAGCCCAGTTGTGTCTGGGGAGGATTTATTTACAATGGTTACCTTTGCTGAGTCATTTCTGAAATTCCCTGGCACTATTTCTTCGAGAAATGCTTTTGCAACAAGCATGAAAGAGAATTCAGGTCTGCCGTCTTGTTCTGGTCGTTGGAGTTAGAGGAGCCATATATGAACATGAGATGGAAAACCAGTTGGATTTTTTTTCTTGGGCTTCCCTTATGCTTGCCCCCCAGGACTTCTCCCGAGCTTCTCCCATCCTATGGAACTCTCTACCCCAACCTCTCTCTGGCTGTCTCCTAATCTATCCACCTTCAGACAATCCTTGAAAACCTTTTCTCTTTAAAGAAGTCTATCCTGCTTTCTAGTAAACCGCCACCCACCCCCCCTCCCCACCCCCCCCCCCCCCCCCCACCCCCCACAACCGTCCCCTCACTGCTCCCCCCCCACCCCCCCTCCATCTCCCCCCCCCCCCCCCCCCCCCACCAACAGCTGTTACCTGCTGTATCACTGTGCTGCTACATACAAATATGGAGGTGAAGTTTTCCCAGCTGCTTATGACCAGAGTTGGGCTCATTCTCATCCTCTGGTTTGTCTACTATCTGTACTTTGTCTAATGGTCCTTCTTTTCCTAGGAGAGAATGGAGCCCTGCACAGCTAAGAAGAGTCATCCTGTTGTGCCCGGCCCTAATGCTAAGGTAAAGGGACAAGTCTGATCATTTTATTAATTGGGGGAGGTGGGGGGAGGGGACACAGGAAAGCTCTAACAGGTCTGTCTTGTCCTACTTCCACATTTTCTATTGCAGTAAAATAGGCCTGGGTTCAATGCCATGATCAGCAAAGGGATCATCGCAGGCCTCCATACTGATAACTGGATCTGTGCCAAACTGAACCTGGCGTGCAGGATGTTAACTAGCAGACAGATCATATCCCTCTGTGTAGTGAACACAATCCATAGGCCTACACTCACCGGCTGCTTTATTAGGTACACCAAGAAAATCTCCCCTGCGCCATTACACCACCAGCCTGAAGCGGTGGAGCAAGACAGGATGGATCCATGCTTTGTTTACACCAAATTCTGACCCTACCATCTGAATGTCGGAGCAACAATTGCTGCTCACTGGATCTTTTTCTCCTTGTCGGACCATTCTCTGTAAACCCTAGAGATGGTTATGCGTGAAAATCCCAGTACATCAGCAGTCTTTGAAATACTGAGACTGGCCCGTCTGGCACAGACAACCATGCCACGTTCAAAGTCCCTTAAATCCCCTTTCTTCATTCTGATGCTTTGAATTTCAGCAAGTTGTCTTCACCATGTCTAGATGCCTAAATGCATTGCGTTTCTGCCATGTGATTGGCTGGTTAGCAATTTGGGTTACCAAGCCATTGAACAGGTGTACCTAATAAAGTGGCCAGTGAGGTATGTTCCTGGGTTTTAACCTCTTGGCTCTCTGCTGAGCTGGGGTGGGCAGAGGAAGCAGCTCAGCTCTCCTGTTCCAAATGTAGGTTCTGGTGCAGATATGGTGTAGAAAATGGAGCAGAAAACTTAACCTCTTGGTGCCGGCCAAACGCAAATGTGCAGCCTCCCGGTGTCTGGCCCTAGATGCCGAGCAGCCGCACATTTGCGGTCTATTAAAAAAAAAACATAGCCCTGCGCGCTCCAGCACACAAGTTCGGTACTCATGGAAAGGTCCCGGTCTCTTTCGATCTGGACTTTTCCCGATCATGTGACTGCTGCAAATCATGGTGGTCACATGACCCTAAAACCCCACCCTGCCTGTGGCTTCTGGAACCCTTAAAGGGCCTTGAGATGCCTGCACCAAGGAGTTAACAAAGGGGCTTCTGCCCCTTCAATCAGAATCGGTTCTGTGATGGGAGTGACTTTTGGGGGTGGGGGGACCCCTGTCTCAGCTCATGTTCCTCTTATGTGTAAGCCACCCTGTGCCTGTTAGGGGTACAGGGTAGAATGTCCATTCACTGCCAGGTGCTGCATCCCATTAATTATGGGATTCATGTGTTCCTGTATTGTCTAATGCCAGGTGGTGGTTCTATTGTGTCTTGGTTTGGTGGGGGGTGTTCCCAGCAGCCCTTCCCACGATGGGTCGGCATGCTGTTTCCCGTTCCTGGTTGTATTTCCCCTCCCTGTGTATATATCTTGTTTTGTGTTAAAATAAAGCAGTTCTACTTCGTGTCTTAAGAAGAGTCTGGTGCTGTCCATTTCCTGTATGGTCAGCGGTGGTGTCTTGTGGATAATGTTCGGACAGGGAAGCGGGAGTCTAATACCCTAGCGCAGTCGGGGTCCGGTTCTGTTACAGGTTCTCTTCAGCTTAGAAGGTTTTATACCCGCATCGGTCTTAGGGCTTGTTCACACTTGACTGTTTTACTAACGCTTGCCAAATGCCCCTATAGCGTTTGGCAAGCGTTGGTCCGGGGTTTGCAGAGCATTTTTTAACACTCTGCAAACGCTGCTTGCATGGTTTAGCGGCGGTTGCTAGACGTTTGCCAAGCATTAAAAACGCCCCACTAATGGCTATAATGAAGTTTAAATGGTGTTACCGCACCGCAAACGCCGGCCAGGTGTTTGCGTAGCGGCACCATAGACTAGAATGAGGCTTCAACGCCTCCTGACTGGACCAGAGGCGTCCGTTTTGACGCGACGCTAACGCTCCCGTTAGAACAGCACCATGTGTGCTGCAATGTGCAGAATTGTCCGAGGCGTTTGGGAAGCGGTAAAAACGCCTTTTTCTGCCGCCTGCACACAACGCTTGTGTGAACGTAGCCTTAAAGTGATTATAAACTTTTATTACTTTTTTTTTTTATTAAAGTGGTTATAAAGGGTGATTTTTTATTTATTTTTTTTTTCTGCCTTAATGCGTTCTATGCATGAAGGTGAAAAACCTTCAGTGTGCTGCTCCCCTCACAGCCCCCTCAATACTTGGCGTAGTCCGATCTTCATCAAGTCATGTGCACTGTAGTCTCAGCTCTCTTGGTTCTCTCTCTCCTCTTTGGCTGAGACACAGCAGAAAGAGCCATTGGGTCCCACTACTGTGCCCCCACAGGAGGTAGCTTGTGCTGGGGGATACTTATCAGGGAGGGCACAAGCATTGGCAGGGGACCTGAAGAGGGGCACAGAGCAGCCCCAATCCTTTCATATGTGCAACCTGCAAAAAGTCTGAAGTCTTCTAGCAGGCTTTAATTTTCTGGCTAAAGTTCCCCTAAAGTATACATTTTTTTTGTTTAACCCCTTCGCTCCGGTGCTTCCTGGCCCTTCAAGGGTTTCAGAAGGCGGGGTTTAGGGTCATGTGACCGCTGTGACATGCGGTCACATGATCGGGAAAGGTCCCAAGCGAAAGATCAGGACCTTTCCGTGAGTACCGGACATGTGTGCTGGGAGCGTGCATGGCACTCGTTCTCAGCACGTTTTTTTTTTATTAGAATGCAAATGTGCGGCCACTTGGCGTCTAGGCCCAGATGCTGGGAGGATGCACATTTGCGTTCGGCCGGGCACCAAGAGGTTAAGGGTGATCTTGTATGAACGTATAGGATGAGCTTGTTGCAGCCCCCCCCCCCCCCCAGTCCCCAAATAAAAGCTTGCAGACTAATGTAATACGGAATAAAACCTCCTCTCCATTCACGGCACTTTCTAGCAGCTCACTGTAGATCCGGGTGAAATCACTGTGCGATCTTGGAGGTTGATCACAAATCTCACAGATGCTCCTGCTAACATGCATTTGGAAGATTTGGCTTTTTCAGCCTTCCCGGGATCCTGTGGTCTGTCGAATGGAACATTGCTTTGTGGAACGTGATTTACTGTCTTTGCTTTTTGTTAATGAGTGCCGGAAGCCAACTATTTAGTAAAATCTCCTTCTGCAGTAGGAGGTATGTAGATGGAGCTGTTGATGGTATTTTTTTATTTATTTAGAGTTTTCCTTCTGTGGCTGATGGCCCCAAACGGATCCCAATGACACAACCACAGCAGCAGAGACAGATCAGCCAGGTGAAGCCGCCGGCGACAGCGCTTGGTGCGAAGAGAGTGCCGTATTCCTCTAATGTTCCACAAAGAGTCCTTTCCCAGAAACCCCTTGTAACCAATCAAAAACAAGTACCTCCACCAGCAGCCAATCAGGCTCAACCGAAGCCCTTACCGCAGGTCCAGCCTGCATCCCGCACACAACCCACTGATGAAAACAAAGACCCATATAGTACTACAGGTGAGTGTGCAGCTGGGAAATTGGCAATATAATGTGTATATCATGTGGATACTTTCATGCGGACGTCTTTTTCAGCTCCTCCTGCAGAGAAGAAAGTTGCTGCAGAGCCAAGCCAACCAGCATCCTCCACTACAAAGGAAGAGGGTAAAAAGTGAGTGTTTATGGGTTTGGTGGGCTTTTGGGTTTTCAGTTGAACACATGTTTAACCGCTAGCCTACAGGGCACTTATACCCCCTTCCTGCCCAGGCCAATTTCCAGCACTGCACGGATGGGCGCCTGGTAGGTGGCACGGATGGGCGCCTGGTAGGTGGCACGGATGGGCGCCTGGTAGGTGGCACGGATGGGCGCCTGGTAGGTGGCACGGATGGGCGCCTGGTAGGTGGCACGGATGGGCGCCTGGTAGGTGGCACGGATGGGCGCCTGGTAGGTGGCACGGATGGGCGCCTGGTAGGTGGCACGGATGGGCGCCTGGTAGGTGGCACGGATGGGCGCCTGGTAGGTGGCACGGATGGGCGCCTGGTAGGTGGCACGGATGGGCGCCTGGTAGGTGGCACGGATGGGCACGGAGAGCTGGCACTGCTGGGGCTACACATCAGTGCTCTGATGATCTGTGTACATGTCCCCTCCAAGGAATGCCAATTACCGGCTCTCCTCTGTCAGCGTGACAGCTCGTGGGGAGAGAAATGACGATAACCGACATTTCCCTGTTTACATGTGATCAGCTGTGATTGGACACAGCTGATCACATGACATCTTCGGCTTTTTCTGTGGATTGGTGATCCGTTGTTTCCGAGGGAAACGGCGCACCACCTATTTCCGTGCTCTGGGAGCCACGCATGCGCGGTTAGAATGGGAGGACGTCATATGACGTCCTCCCAGAATGAGACAACCGCCTTGCATCTGTCATATTACTATATGGTGGGCAGGAGGCAGTTAAAAGGGATAATAAAGAGCACCTGTACTGGGGGAGCTGTGCTAAGGTTATACTGACACAGGCGGTTATCCTTTTTCCATCTCAGTGAATCTTTTTGCATTTTCCGACATCTTGTTATCATTCACCTGGAAGTTATAAGTGAAAATAGAATTGGATAAAATAAAAACAGTGTCTGTCTTCATTTCAGGCTGCAAAGCAGCAAAATGACTATTTTAAAGGGGGCGGGGTTTCTTTTCTATACCCGCTACACCTGAATACTCATCCTGTCATGGTTTTTACATTACTCAAACCTTGCGAGGTTTTTTTGGGCATTTTGACCGACTTTCAATCCTGTGTTCTTTCCACTGCGTTTTCGTTCCTTTTTACTTTGCTCTTTTGTCCCTACAGGAAGCAGTGGTGCCTGGAGGACTTTGAGATTGGCCGTCCTTTAGGAAAAGGAAAGTTTGGCAATGTGTACTTGGCCAGGGAGAAGCAGAGCAAATTCATCTGGCATTGAAGGTTCTCTTTAAATCCCAGTTGGAAAAAGCTAATGTGGAGCATCAGCTTCGCCGGGAGGTGGAGATCCAATCGCACTTGAGGTTAGTTTCTTGATAAAGATTTCCGCTGCTGTCCATACATGGGAGTGTCGGCAGTAGCGACTAATAACACGGTATTGGCTATAGGGGAATGGACAAATGACACGTACCCCAAACATGAGTTCTCGAAGGCATATTTATTACAGGTACTTATATAGCGCTGTCAATTTACGCAGCGCTTTACATATATATTGCACATTCACATCAGTCCCTAACCCTCAAGGGGCGTACAATCTAAGGTCCCAGACCCTCAAGGGGCATACAATCTAAGGTCCCTAACCCTCAAGGGGCATACAATCTAAGGTCCCTAACCCTCAAGGGGCGTACAATCTAAGGTCCCTAACCCTCAAGGGGCGTACAATCTAAGGGCCCTGACCCTCAAGGGGCGTACAATCTAAGGTCTCTAACCCTCAAGGGGCGTACAATCTAAGGTCCCTAACCCTCAAGGGGCGTACAATCTAAGGTCCCTAACCCTCAAGGGGCGTACAATCTAAGGTCCCTAACCCTCAAGGGGCGTACAATCTAAGGTCCCTAACCCTCAAGGGGCGTACAGTCTAAGGTCCCTGACCCTCAAGGGGTGTACAATCTAAGGTCCCTGACCCTCAGGGGGCGTACACAATCTAAGGGCCCTGACCCTCAGGGGGCGTACACAATCTAAGGGCCCTGACCCTCAGGGGGCGTACACAATCTAAGGGCCCTGACCCTCAGGGGGCGTACACAATCTAAGGGCCCTGACCCTCAGGGGGCGTACACAATCTAAGGGCCCTGACCCTCAGGGGGCGTACACAATCTAAGGGCCCTGACCCTCAGGGGGCGTACACAATCTAAGGGCCCTGACCCTCAGGGGGCGTACACAATCTAAGGGCCCTGACTCATTCATACATACACACACTAGGGACAATTTAGACAGGATCCAATTCACCTACCAGCATGTCTTGGAGTATGGGAGGAAGCCGGAGGAAACCAACGCAGGCACAGGAAGAACATGCAAACTCCAGGCAGGTGGTGCCGTGGCTGGGAATCACTCCACTCCTTTCTGCCTAATGCCTTTGACATTTGACATCAGGGTTTCTCAACCTTCTTACCTTTGCGGGGAACCCATGGCCAAAAATTCTAATCTCGGGGAACCCCTGAAATATTCCGTTCGTCAAGCTCACGGAACATTGGTATCATCAGTGAGTTGTTGGCTCAGTGTAGCGACAATTATTTTTAGAAATGGCAGTAAAGAATAGATAATTCGTATTTAATGTCAAACCTGTGCTTGCTTTTGTCTGCACAGATGCTTTATTCCGGGTCGAACTTGAGTTTAGCAGTGTACAGGGGATTTTCAGAGAAGATCAGTGGGGGCAGCAGGGCATTAAGGAGAGGCCGCAGGGTACAGAAATCGCTTTTTCCAACTCGTGAAGGGAAACTGCTGCGACATGTCGTGGAGCGCTGTTCCTGCTAACGCCTCTCTTGTCCATCTCATGTAATGTCCTATACGCACTTGGGACAGGTGCACGGGTGGAGCTGGTGAGGAACAGCAGAGGTGCTTGTTGCTTCCCTGCGCCAGTCTGCATGTTGGGAAGATGTGGGGACGGTCTCAGTGCGCCGCCCTGCATGTGGGGACGGTCTCAGTGCGCCGCCCTGCATGTGGGGACGGTCTCAGTGCGCCGCCCTGCATGTGGGGGCGGTCTCAGTGCGCCGCCCTGCATGTGGGGACGGTCTCAGTGCGCCGCCCTGCATGTGGGGGGCGGTCTCAGTGCGCCGCCCTGCATGTGGGGGGCGGTCTCAGTGCGCCGCCCTGCATGTGGGGGGCGGTCTCAGTGCGCCGCCCTGCATGTGGGGGGGGCGGTCTCAGTGCGCCGCCCTGCATGTGGGGGGGGCGGTCTCAGTGCGCCGCCCTGCATGTGGGGGGCGGTCTCAGTGCGCCGCCCTGCATGTGGGGGGCGGTCTCAGTGCGCCGCCCTGCATGTGGGGGGCGGTCTCAGTGCGCCGCCCTGCATGTGGGGGGCGGTCTCAGTGCGCCGCCCTGCATGTGGGGGGCGGTCTCAGTGCGCCGCCCTGCATGTGGGGGGCGGTCTCAGTGCGCCGCCCTGCATGTGGGGGGCGGTCTCAGTGCGCCGCCCTGCATGTGGGGGGCGGTCTCAGTGCGCCGCATGTGGGGGGCGGTCTCAGTGCGCCGCATGTGGGGGGCGGTCTCAGTGCGCCGCATGTGGGGGGCGGTCTCAGTGCGCCGCATGTGGGGGGCGGTCTCAGTGCGCCGCATGTGGGGGGCGGTCTCAGTGCGCCGCATGTGGGGGGCGGTCTCAGTGCGCCGCATGTGGGGGGCGGTCTCAGTGCGCCGCATGTGGGGGGCGGTCTCAGTGCGCCGCATGTGGGGGGCGGTCTCAGTGCGCCGCATGTGGGGGGCGGTCTCAGTGCGCCGCATGTGGGGGGCGGTCTCAGTGCGCCGCATGTGGGGGGCGGTCTCAGTGCGCCGCATGTGGGGGGCGCGGTCTCAGTGCGCCGCATGTGGGGGGCGGTCTCAGTGCGCCGCATGTGGGGGGCGGTCTCAGTGCGCCGCATGTGGGGGGCGGTCTCAGTGCGCCGCATGTGGGGGGCGGTCTCAGTGCGCCGCATGTGGGGGGCGGTCTCCGTGCGCCGCGCTGCATGTGGGGGGCGGTCTCCGTGCGCCGCGCTGCATGTGGGGGGCGGTCTATGTACTATGTGTTGGATTATGCTTTGTGGCATAAACTGGTTATCTATAGGGACACTGGACACCAGGCTGACTATCTAGGGCATGTTTTCAGGGACTGCACGGCCATCACTTGAGTTTTATCTTGAAGGGGGTCCAACTTATTTTGCCCACGGGTCCACTGAATTAAAAAGTCAGTCTCCAACTTGCAGCTAGCTGCACTGGAGCCAATTGACCGTTTGTATTTTGAGGAGTTCTGTGTACCAGAGTGTTACCTACCTCCCCAGGTGGGGGGGGGTCCTATCACTCTACATCAGGCTGCCCTCGGATGCCTTCAGATAAAGGCTTGTATAGTATCCATTTCACAATACCTGTCCTCTCCTCTGGATTAGAATAGTTCCCAACGGGGTTAGTATTTAGAACTTTTTCTCAGGTATTGCAGTGTGTCCTTGCTAGGAGATTCATCCTTTGTCCTGATGAGCATGAAAACTGGAGGTGACTGCAAATCCATAGTTATCACCAGGATGGGTGCAAGTTTGTAAGGGGACATTAGGTGTGTGCAGTGACAGCTCCCCATTGGGACAGGATGGTGAAATGATTTTTGTTTGACATTCATCTTGGAGATGGGACCTTTTTTGTTTACTTTGCTGTGTTTGTTTACTTTGCTGTGTTTGTTTACTTTGCTGTGTTTTGTTTACTTTGCTGTGTTTGTTTACTTTGCTGTGTTTGTTTACTTTGCTGTGTTTGTTTACTTTGCTGTGTTTACTTTGCTGTGTTTACTTTGCTGTGTTTACTTTGCTGTGTTTACTTTGCTGTGTTTACTTTGCTGTGTTTACTTTGCTGTGTTTACTTTGCTGTGTTTACTTTGCTGTGTTTACTTTGCTGTGTTTACTTTGCTGTGTTTACTTTGCTGTGTTTACTTTGCTGTGTTTGTTTTTACTTTTACACTTGTCTCTCCCGCAGACATCCAAACATTCTTCGGCTGTACGGGTATTTCCATGATGCCACTAGAGTCTACCTTATCCTGGACTATGCTCCACGAGGCGAGCTGTTCCGGGAGCTGCAGCGGTGTACGCGGTTTGATGACCAACGAACTGCTACTGTAAGTGTATTGCCGTACTGATCCTGACACACCCGGGGGGGGTGGGGGGTTCTTCTTTTTGCCGTCTTACCGACTTTGGCTCTTTGCAGTACATCACAGAACTAGCTGACGCTCTATTGTATTGCCATGCCAAGAAGGTGATACATCGGGACATCAAACCAGAGAACCTGCTGCTTGGTGCTAATGGGGAACTAAAAAATAGCAGATTTTGGCTGGTCTGTGCACGCCCCGTCATCTCGGTAAGACAAACTTGTAATTTTACGACCTGTTGGCTCTCATGAATGTTGCCCATGTATGGTCACTCTTGCATGTGGGGTGCGTGTGGGGTTTTTTTTTTTTGACTTGTACCATAATTTTCAGCTTGGTCCAGTTGCTGTATCATTGCTATATCATCTTATATATCTTGTTCCAGAATATTCTCCATAGTTTGTATATGAATTTCACATGAGAGATTTTTTGAAGGGAAGGTTAGCCCTCTAGTGTCTGTATACACTGTGGATGTGTGTGGTGGGAGGGGGGGGAGTGTCTGTATACACTGTGGATGTGTGTGGTGGGAGGGGGGGGGGGTGTCTGTACACACTGTGGATGTGGATGTGGTGGGAGGGGGGGGGGTGTGTCTGTACACACTGTGGATGTGTGTGGTGGGAGGGGGGGGGGGTGTCTGTATACACTATGGATGTGGGAGGGAGGGGGGGGGGGTGTCTGTATACACTATGGATGTGGGAGGGGGGGGGGGTGTCTGTATACACTATGGATGTGGTGTGGTGGGTGGGGGGGGGGGTGTCTGTATACATGTGGATGTGTGTCTGTATACACTGTGGATGTGTGTGTGGGGGGGGGGGGTGTCTGTATACACTGTGGATGTGTGTGTGGGGGGGGGGTGTCTGTATACACTGGTGTGGATGTGTGTGGTGGGGGGGGGGTGTCTGTATACACTGTGGATGTGTGTGGGGGGGGTGTCTGATATACACTGTGGATGTGTGGGGGGTGTGGGGGGGGGGGGGGTGTCTGTATACACTGTGGATGTGTGTGGTGGGGGGGGGGGGGTGTCTGTATACACTGTGGATGTGTGTGTGGTGGGAGGGGGGTGGGGGGGTCTGTATTACACTATGGATGTGTGTGGTGGGAGGGGGGGGGGGGGGTCTGTATACACTAGGATCGGTGTGTGTGGTGGGAGGGGCGGGGGGGGGGGTCTGTATACACTATGGATGTGTGTGTGGTGGGAGGGGGGGGGAGACAGGGGGGGGGGAGTGTCTGTATACACTATGGATATGTGTGTGGGTGGGAGGGGGGGGAGGGGGGGAGGGGGTCTGTATACCACTATGGAAGGTTGGGTGTGGATGGGATGGGGGGCGGGGGGGGGGGGGCGGGGGAGTGTTGTTTACACTATGGATGTGTGTGTGGGTGGGTTTTGGTTTTTGGGCAAGAGGTTGGGGTTTGTGAGTGGGGTGTGTTCTATTCTATTTTTGTGGAAGTTTTTCTGGTAAAAAAAAAAAAAATAACACTATGGGTGTGTGTG